AACCCGGACTGCATGTTTGCATTTTAAAGAAGTAAGTCTGTAATGCAGCAGCATCTTCTTCACCAAGTCCAAAACGCCGCACTTTATCAACGAAATTCCTACAGTCTTTCTCAACACAAGTCATGTTCTCAAATCCACTCGCCTCCACTATAGTTGAGTTATAGCTTTTATGCAACGGGATTCCCGCTATATCGTTGGCCTTAAGCCGTCTTTTGACATGTGCACTAAGTTCACGATTGCATCGATACAACCTAGATTTAGATGGACTTGTCTTATGGTTATGCTCACGATTGCATCGATACAACCTAGATTTAGATGGACTTGTCTTATGGTTATGCTCCAACTCCACAACATTTATTCGCCATATTCCACGTACATCGGAACACGTTGTCAACCTGGCTTTGCACTTGTTTCAATCGTTAGTGGAGGCTTCAAAGAAGTACTCTTACTAATCTTTCGTCGACCTTCTCGACTACAAGTAAAACTCACATATTGAATAACCCCCATCATCACCCTTCTTAGTGTTTCTATTTCTAATAGGAAACCCTATTACATAAGCGTATTTCATATAGAATTCAAACAAGTCCTCCACGCTGTCAAATTTCATACCAATCTTCGGAACAATGATCNTAGTGTTTCTTTTTCTAACAGGAAATCCTATTTCATAAGTGTATTTCTTATAGAATTCAAATAAGTCCTTCAAGCTGTCAAATTTCATACCAACCTTCGGAATGATAATCTCATTTTCAACTCCTACCATTGCATCAGGCAAACAACCATCGCCCACAACCTCCAATAAGTTCACCTCCATTCCTGTAAGCAAGCAAGTAAACCGTTCATATTTATTTTTTCCATGTCAAATAAGTTTAAGGAAAGATGTAGATCATTTTCACACAGTTAATTAGCTGTAATTTCGTTTCAGCTCAACAAATTGCATTCCAATCGAAAAGGCAGTAAGTTTTACCACTGTTAGCATCGCCTTTCACCATATAGTCGTACCCCTGTGTAGTTTCTTGGTTACTCTGGGTGTGCTTATCTGTAGGGATGTAGGAGATTTTCAACAGGAGATTTTCAATGAGCATATAGGCAGAAAAAATCAAAAATTTCGCATAAAAATGAAACACAATTATTTCACCATTGTTGTCGCCATCCTTGACGTCGACTTCATCGTCGTCCATACCGGAAAGCCTCCAACAAAATGCACTGCTACTGGAAGAAACTACGAATCCGAGTGCTACTAGAAGAAACTAGAAACCTATTTCGAAGAAACTGCGAATCTGGCTTCTCATTCACCGGCGTCAATACCGGAAAACATGACAAAATTTTAAGTTGAGAGTTGTTTGAGAGCTTCCCTCTTTCCAGTCGTCTTCAAAGAGGGAAATTTAAAGAGGGAAATGTGAAGAAAACGAGGGTTTCAATTTTGGGATTTTTGTCTTTTTTTTATTCAACGAGATTTTGAACCAAAATCTCGCCACGTCAGCAATTATGGATACCTTGAGATGTGTAATCTGATGTACCAGTAGCAATTTCCTTCTAAAAATACCCTTAATACAAATTCACTTGGAAACTATGATGAAAGCTTGAATTTTATTAGGAATGACAAAAAAATCAGTTCAACCCAATATTCAAGTACGAGAAATGTAGTCCACACCACATTTAAAATTAATTTAAAATTTAAGTTTTTTATCAAACAAAAAAAAAATATTTATCATTATTTTAAAAGAAAATATGGGTTGTTCTTAAAAAATAAAAAGTAATAATATTTACTAACTAAATACATAGAAAAATAAAAGTAAAAAATAAATAGGGCGATAAAGGGGGCAAGGGTTTCGCCGTCCCGATCCCACCTCGTCCTACTTTAATCGAGTATGAGAATTGGGTAAGGTGACGAAAATATTTAATGGAAAGGGGGTGGAAATGATCGATCTGTTTCATACCCAATGGGAATGATCGTTTGGAATTTAGGAATGAATTGAAAGTTAAACTTGCATTTATTTTTATTTGAATTGCCCCCATCAACTATCGAACTATTTGTGTAGAACAATTCTCACAGGGCCCTCGTAAGTGTTGCATTGGCAGCATCTGTATGATGCTTTTTTTTTTTTTTTGGTGTTTTTGACAACGATGAATGAAAATTTGCCAAGTG